TCTAAATTTGGTTGCTCTTATTTTATTTAATTTTTAATTTGTATTATGCATAGCGTAAGAAGTCAACAAAAGTTTTTAAAAACTTCTTTTTTTAATTTTCATTTAAAGTTAATAATTTAGACTACTATATCTTATAAACTTACATTGTCGGGTCATATTTTTTAAAAAATTATAATAAATCTATTATTCTAAAGTATTATAGGTATGAACAATAATTATCTTTCTAAATTTCATCATCTTCGTTAACTTATATATAAAATTTAGTAAATTATGAAATTGATCTATAAGCTTTCAGAGTTGTATCGGGTAGGTTCCAAAAAGTTTAATGTCGAAAATGTTTTAAAATTTATAATTTAAATGAACATGTGTATGAGTTTTATTTTTTTTTTTGTTTAATTAATATATTCATAACCTATCAAAGGATATTTTTTTAATAGATATAAAATAAAAAATTCAAAGAAATGACAAATTTGAAAGTTAAAATAGAAAATTTGAAATAAGGCAGCGTAATATCAAAACATATTAACTAGTAAGCCTAGTGGAAGTAAAAACTTAGTCTACTGTTACAACTTGAAGTTATTTGAGTTGACTGGCAGTAAAGTCTTGACAAAAACTGTAGCTTGAAACTTTTCGGGGAGTCCTTTTACTGGAAGCTGTAGAAAGCATTGGGTATTGAGATTGTATAAAATGAGCTGCCCGTCCTTAGCTTCCATTACAAGTTCTTGAGAGCTTACAAACACCAATGGCCTCTCGATTCCTGAAATAGGGCCGATTGTGAATACCTTGGACCATGAATTGTCCTTCCCCATCGCCCAAATTTGGAAGGTTGTTTCAACCTTATTAGGATCGTAATAAAACAGCACAATCTGTCCCGTCCAAACAACAAGACTTCTGTGCTCGGCGCTCCCCCACGCGAAACACTCCGGCATCGGAATCCTGCCGAAAACCTCCTCGCTCATGTCGAACCACTGGATGATTTCACTCCCTCCATCCTCTATTGCCCTCCAGTAAAACCTTCCTTCGTGATACATCTCGAACGAAGGCGCCCAAAATACACTCCCACAAGCACGACTTTCGATTTCTCTCCAACCATCTTTCGCCAAATCGTACACTTCTGTTTTGTAATATGGATATGCATATTCTTCACGAACTTCCACAACCCTAACAGCCTTGAAATCCCTAGATTTCTGATCGTACCCGAATCCAACGGCATCCATGCTTGTACCGGTTCGGTCGAAGGGATCATCAGAGGGTTTGGTCAAGAGAATTGACGGTGGCAGCTCGCGAAGCTCTCCGGTTGCTGGATTACAGAGGAAAATATCGTTGGGGCTAAGAGAGAGGCAAATTAAGCCGTGAGAATAGCCGCTAAGTCCACAAAACTCAAAAACCTCAGGTAATGGAAAATCCATGTCCACAACGGCAGATGGGAGGGGAAATTTGAGGAAGCTGAGCATAGTTTCGTTCTCCCCGGACTCCTCGTTTGCTATTGTACGCTTCACAAGAAGGTTTCGGTGTTGCAGATAATCCGCAAAATTAGGGTCGTTAATTAGGACATACATGTATTTGGAAACACATTTGAGTCGAGCAACACATTCCGGCGGGAGCTGCGACAGAATCTTGATCATCAATTCTTGTGATAGATTTTCCCAACTCGCCATTTGAAATAATTTTTTAGGAACCCAACGCGTCCCCTCTCCTCTCCTATTTCAATAGAATTCGAATTCTTTATGTAGGATTGTAAGGCCGTGGCATTTTAGTGGCATAGCATAAGATTTGGAGAGCAAGCACTTCTCGTGCTGTGGGGTCCACATATTTTTAAAATTTTGTTGTTTTAAATGTTAAAGTTAGAAAGATGTGGGTGGGTCGTCCCGTGAACCTTGCGAATCATGMCATTTAGTTTTTATTTTTTAACATATATTCTTTTATTTATTTTTTTTATTTTGAAAAACAACATATTTATTTACTGGAAGATATAGAGTATTTCCACAAATCAACCCAAAGAGAAGCAAGGAATAGAAAGTCGGGTGGGCCGCAACACACCTCACSTACTTTATTTAATGGACTCTGTTGGATGATGAACATGGATGTGCCACATATGATCAAGAATTTGACTTATAGCCCAACGTAAAATACTACGGACATAGTCGGGCCAAATGATATGTATGCCTTCATGTTCGAGCCCTAGTGTGAACTATTAATAAGGTGTTTTATAATTGCGTATTTCCCACTACCATAAGTGCTATGTTGAAATCCACTGAACGTGCTACGTGGCTGAGTAATGGTTCACAATCCTTAAACACCTATAAATACAAGAGTGCATTGCATATGAGCTTTCAAGTTCTAACMGTAATTTTATAATATCTTATTTTGTGTTTGTTAAGATTGATTGTCATCTGGACAATTGGTCCCACTATTCAATCCATAACGAAAGCTCAACGCAAACTCTTATTTCCTGCGTGTATGGCCGACCCCATTGGCACATAGTAGAGGAGAGTGTGCCTGATACACCTATATATTTTATTTTAGTTTTTCTTCAAAGCTTAAGGTCAATTTTCAATATGGCTATCATTAACTCAACATTGTCTTGGGTTTTAATTAGATACTTTATTAAGTTTACCTCCCCTTAGTTATTCATTCAAATTTAGAGATTCTCACTTAGCCTTTGAATCAATTAAAACTAATCAAATACCTTAATTGCCACATAGTAGAGGAGACGAGGACCAAACACTACCTCCCCCAACTCAATTCCGGAAAAATAAATAATAGGCCTATGAGTTGATATCATTAAAATAAGGGGAGAAATGTCTATTGTAGCCCGTACCAAGGTGGTGGTTACAATGAGGGTGTTAAAGTCCGCTCTCTTAATCAGACTCGATCTTCTCAACTTAAAATGCCTTGCCTCGCCGCACGCCCATCAGCGCCCGCATGCCCCATGCGCATCCCCTTGCCGCCCATGCTTGCGCACCACACCATGCCATCGCCTATGCCAGTGTGCCTCACCAGCTACCACACGCTAGCCAGCATGCAGCCCCCCATGTCTGCACCTGCCACCGCGTTGTCTGCCCTACATGCATCTTCCCCTTGCATGCGCCTCAACCCCCCATCGGYGCCTCCACACACTTGATGCCGCCACCCTTAGCACCACCCTTTTGCCGCAAACCTAGTTCTTTGCCGCTCACTCTTGGAACATTTTAGGAATCTATTTTCCTATTTTGTTCCAAGAGCAAGGAAATAAKTGGATTTTATTTTATTTGTTTTTTGATTTTGGCATGCTTTAGGAATTATCAAATTTAATTTATATTTTCTTTAATTTTGTTATTTTCTTAAAAAGGCCTTGCGACTTAGCCTCTAAATAGGCATGTATCCCCTCTTGTTTCAGACATCTTTTGAATGTTGATTCAATAAAACTGTAGGCACCGTATTTGGTTCGACTTATTTTATTTTATATATATATTGTTATTATTATTATTTAATTAAATTTGATTTTAATGGTTTTGGTTAAAAATAACATCATTTTACTTTATTATTAATTTTAAAATAAAGTTTAAATTAACTTAAACTAAAAAAGGTTAGATTTATTTAAATGTTTGATTTTATTAATAAGAAAATGAAAATGATTTTGTTTTTGTTGGGTATTCTGTGTCCTAAAACTCGTAGTTTGTAAACAGTGAACATTAATGTGAGGTTATTCAGACAAGTGTTGTTAAATGAATGTGAATTTGTTTTTTTTTAATAAATCCAATAAA